AGGACGAATGCAGGATTTACAGAACGTCACTCAAATAGTTGCGTGTTAAACAATGTGACCTGAGAATGTGATCATGAGTGAGTGAGTGTGTGAGTTGGGTTTAACGCCGCTTTTAACAATATTCCAGTTATATCGCAGCGTGTCAGCTTAAAGTGGGAGGAAAGCCCGATGTGATGCAGGTCTCAGACGTTTACCACTTCGGTGAAACCCACGAGCACGGGTATGGTGCTGACAAACCTAGAAACATAATCGGCACGAACCGGGATTCGAACCCACGATCATAGGTTTCTGGCGTGCCCAAGGGACGCAACTCTGCACAGCAAATCGCGGTGCGTTAGAAGACTGGGCCACCCGTGCCCCCATTTGATCATGAATTCCGTGTCACTTATCTATGTTGTTGTTTTTGTCAGCAGCTTGGAAATCCCTGGGACATCGTTGGGAAACACCCCACGTTTTCAATCTCTAATACAAATGAGTTCTCTGTCACGATAGCTATTGTATCTTTGTGCGATCTGCGACAGGTTTACCATCATTTCGAAAATGTATCTAATCTTCAACTTAAGATATCTTATCTTTGAACGTAAGTTGTTAAGATTAATCGCAGCTGAGATCGTTTCGAAAATCTAGGCCCTGGTAGGGCCTTTGTATAGGATGTTGATGAAGATGGGTACTGGGGCTGATTTTGACTTTGAAACAGGATCTTTTCTGGGTTTTATGAATGGTGCTGAGAAAGATGCTGGATTTCTTTGAAAAAACTGTCAGGATTGCAGATGGCTCATCGGGTGAGGGTGTCAAGTATGGCTTGTTTGATCTGTAAATGGTGGTTGGACATGTAGTGAATGTACTGGTCCGTGTGACTGGGTGTACGGTAGGTGGCAGTGTGGATGTTGTCATCTAGGACCGAGGGCAGCGTGTGGTTTATTACCTAAACAAGATGTTAGTAATAAAATGCAAGTTACCGATTATTCATTTTTAATTACTTACACTGTCAAGATTAAAGATCTTTTCACACTTTAACAATGTACACAATGCTGTTAGTTTAGAAGGATTAACAGAAAGCAGCAGAAACAGTATGTGCATTAAATCTAAGAATCACAAGATAGATAAACACGGCAAACATATCAGTTAAACGCTGCGCCAGTAGCTTTAGGCCACGCCCCCAAATAGGTTTGTTTGGAAGCCGGTTGTGGAGCGTGTGATTTCAGTACTTTCACTAAGACATTTAAATACTTTCTATGAATATCACAAATTTTTCTCTTTGGGAAATCGACTGAATGTATCTGGGACTTTCCCCCCCAAAAATCGCAATCAATGTTTTCAGTTTCTCTCCCTTTAATCTCATTGCCTTCGTCATTGTATTGTTTCTTTGTATATTGATCCCACCTTGTGTAAACATCCTCATATATTTAAACTCTATGTGCTTACTCAGTATTCACCAACTGAAGGGGGAAGTAGTACTGACACGACGTGACAAATAGTGAGTGAGTGAGTATGGTTTTACGCCGCTTTTAGCAGTATTCCAGGAATATCACGGCGGGGGACACCAGAAATGAGCTTCACACATTGTACCCATGTCGGGAATCGAACCCAGGTCTTCGGCGCGACAAGCGAACGCTTTAACCACTAGGATACCCGACCGCCCACTTGACAAATAGAAGCTGAAATGTCATGTATCCATGGTCTTCCAACTTCTCAGAGTAAGCATTTGCCACTCACACAATTTGCAGTAAAAAATCAGTGTTTGTTGCCCTCCCCAACGCACACGTATTCCTTGCAATACGATGGACCACTAATTTTAGTTCGTTATAAGCATATATACAACATCTATACAGCAAATGGCCGGGACCAAAAATTAAGTTCGCAATATCCGTCAGTTCGTTATAAGCATGTTAAACGCATTTGAATGTAAATGTTTGCAAATACATGGAAATCATTCCACAATTTGTTAGGACGTCATCAATTGAACAGTAATTACCTACGCCTATCTGACCTCGTCTGAGGTCCGTGACGTAACTTCAGGTTCTGATGATGTCACTTCCGGTTTTGATGATGTCACTTTCATTGGTCTTGACATCATTCCTGTGACCTGATCACTTGACGTTAACCTATGACCTGTCCAACACTTATTAGAAAACATGGAATAAAAATTTAACTTTCCTTTCGAAGACTTGCCATGGGAAGTACATGCCTCGCACAACCTTTTTTCCCAGCCTTTGGCTAGGGGAGCTACTTTATAATAATGGCCTGTTCTTCCATTACCGGACCAAGACTGTAGATACCATTCAGATCTAGCTGTATTTACCCCAGATAAAAGGTTAGTGAATGTGTTTGGTGATTTCCATTGGCAACTTGTCATCTGCTAGACAGAGCTCTAATTTTGTGGGCTTTAAGAGTACCAAACACAGGAAGTTCCTTTCGTTTTGATAACTTTCTAAAATCATAGTTTTTAACCATCTTACCAGACTCTTTTGCGATATCTCTATCTGAAGCCGTTTTGCAAAAAATAGAGACATTTCAAGCCTCTACAATGTAGCCGTTGGATAGAATCAGAGAACAAATAGGGCATACATGTCAAACCGATGGATCTATCCCTTTGCTTTGAGCAGGAAATGTATAATGTCAATGTCCTAACCATTCCAGAATTTATTGATTCTTGCTACCAACTCTGATAAGGTTCTGATAGTAATGGAACTCCAATCCTCAGCATGCGTTAGGCCTGAGAAGTCATGAGTTTGTAGTTTAGAGATCTATCTAAATGAACTGTCCACCAGAAGGTTCAGCTTACTTACCATGTGTTGGGCAGACATCCTGCAATGTATTGAGTCTACCAAGTCGAATAAACGTGTTGTCTTGTGTTTCACTCCACTTGACTAAGTACTGTAAGTACACTACCACCATGGTGTTGTCTATAGCCATCAGGATAAGAGCATTCATTGATTGCGGAATAGATCACTCACACCTCTAGACCATTCATATGAAGGTCTCTCGTGAGCTCTCCACATCTCTTGTATCACTAGACTGTCCATATGGGCACCCCAGCTGAAGTTGGAAGCACTCTTGTAGAGGTGATGTTTGTCTTCTGCAAACAGAAATGCAATGCCCAGCATATCCACCAAATGAGCCGATCCAATAAAGTTTGGAGGGAAGGTTACTAGAATGTCCAAGTTTGTTGACTATACTAATGGGACACAGGCGAATACATTAAATCATGTTTTAATGACATCCACCTTCTAGGAGTCTGGTTGGGTCAATCTGCCATATTGGTGACCATCTGCAACCACTTGAGACCCTTCGGCGAACAAACGATTCTTCTATGTACAATGTAGTTAGAATCTGGCTCCCAGATACATCATATCCTGTACTGGGTGAATTTTCAACTTGGTTCCAACAATCATTTGGGGCAGAAAAATCTGGATCCTGTCCTGATAGGCTGACAGAGAGTTGGATAAGAGCAAACTGCCAAGTGAACAGCCAAAGTGTGGTGAATATCCTGAAATGGCAGAACCTAGACTCATTACAGCAGGCGTTGACTCAGAATCGGAGATATTTCTTGTGGAAAAACATTCAAATGAATGAATATGCGCATTTCTTGTTTTGCATTAACAACCAATCAGTAATCTCGCTTCGCTGAGTAAGTCATCATAAAATTGTGTGACTTGAAACATGGCTCTCATTTGTCAGTATTGGCATACTTCCTTCTGTGATTTTTATGAACGTAAAATTTTTCATGTCACTAATGTCACCAGTACATAAACAATTTTACACCGTAATATTCCTTTGCTCTAAATCCGAGAATGAGTCAGCTGGGATGGCATCCGTTCCTTCCTCAAATTTTCAATTTCGATGGAGAAGGCCCGCAGGGAAGGCTTCAGGAACATCAAAGCTGTAACCAGTCCAAGGATCCAGGCCTCTTCTTTTTTGGCTGCCTCCTTCCTCTTAGCCATGGATTAAAACTTCATGAACTTCTGATAGTCGTCACTAGGGAGATATAAGGAGGACTCCATCTTGCACTACCACCTAAGCCCTAAATAGCAACTACAACCACTCAACATTCACATAAGTGAAGAATGATCTAGTTGACTAGAGGTCAAAAAGCCAGTCTAAACTGTAATGCAGTGTGATATACAACGACGTCGGTGCACTGTACAACCTCAGACAAAGGACTTAAAGCTTTCTGTCTTCAAGCTGTTGATACAAGGCTTGGGAAGCAAGATACTGTCAGTTTCACAACTAATTATGGATAGTTGACAGTGAAGAGAACCTCTGTTGAAAATCTGAATATTTTATAGTGTGATGACAGCCACAATACAAGATTTATGGCACTGATGTAATAGAGGTTTTGAATTTGCAAGAATTATAAACATTGGGCCCCACATTTCCTTCATTACGGTTTGAAAAGACAGGAATGATGAATTGTGAATATGTACAATGGGCACTACATTCAGCTAAATTGGTTGTGATGGCAAATGTTTACAGACGATAAACAAGCCTATTGGTCAGATGATCTTGGTCTAGAAAGAATGCAATTTATCACTGCTTACATCTGATACATAACCATGGTAACAGCATGCATGTTGATTTTTCCAACATCAAATAATTTATTACTCACACATTACCAGGTGAGCTAGCCTTGTCAATAGCATAATGGACCCGTGAAGATCTGGGGTAGAATAGGTATTCAGCAACCCATGCTTGCCGTAAATGACGACTATGCTTTTCGAAAGAGGCGACTAACGGGATCAAGTGGTTAGGTTCGCGTACTTCGTTGATGCATGTCATCAATCCAAAGGTTCTTCTACTTAAATTAACAATTCTGTTGATGCCTCTCACATGTAATGGGGAAAAAGCATTGTATTTAAACTAGGTGTAACCAGATGCACAAATAACAGCATCATAATATCTTATTTGGTAGACACACTAATCTCTTTAAATCTAACCAGAAAGTGTATTAAGAATTAATAAGACTTGAAGCTTTTAAATTAATATGTACAACTGTCTAGATTTCAGATGGAACACTTACAGACCTGAACATTGTAATAATAGGAACTACTGGTCAAGGGAAGAGTGAAACTGGTAACACCATCCTGGGAGACAATGCATTTGATGCACATGCATGTAGTGAGACTGTTACAAAGTTATGTCAAGAAAAATATTCATTTTATGGAGCCAGGAGAATCACAGTCCTTGACACGCCTCATGTAAATCCAAACAAGCAGGGAAATTTGCGAAAAGAGATTGAGGACTTCTACAAATTACATCGGCCTAATGCAATTTTGGTAGTTTTGCGCTGGAACACGCGCTTCACTCAAGAACAAGAGGAAATCTTTGCCATTATGGATGAAGTGTCCTCCAAAGGGGAATTGTCAAATCACACTGTACTGGTATTTACACATGGAGATACATTTCATCCTGAAATTCAATCACATGATGCAAAGATACAGAAGTTCAAGGAACACATGATGTCAGAGGAAGGCATCATTAAAAGGTTATTGGAAAAGGTTGGTGGTCGCTTCATCCTTGTCAACAACATGGAAATCTCCAAGCTGAAAAGACTGAGAGAAGCTGCATTCATTATTGAGCAGATTGATAATCTTATGGTAAAGGCAACAAATGTAACAGTTCAAGATGAACCAACCATATCACAGGTTCCGGGCAGGAGCCGCTTGTCATTGCTTGGATATTGTATTCCTGGATTTCCGGCTTGTTTTCCTCAAAATGCTGAAGTGGTTTCTCACACCAACGGCTCCATTCTTATGAAAGACATTCAAATTGGAGAACAACTCATGTCAGTATCGTCTAATGGTGAAATCACATACAGCCCTGTTTTCTTGTTTGGTCATGCTAATTCAAATGTCACCAGCGAGTTCATCAACATCATCACCCGACAAGTTTCTATCAAGCTTTCTCCAGACCATCATATCTACACTAAGTATGACAACCAGATTGTAACTGTTCCTTCTAGACAGATCACCAGAGGAAATGTCATCTTCAGACTCGACAGCAATAATAATAGATTAGTAGAAGATGAAGTGACAGATATTTGTTTCTGCATTGAAAAAGGCCTGTATGCCCCCTTCACTATGTCTGGTACACTAGTTGTTGAGGGTGTGCTGGCCTCCTGCTATGTAGATTGTGTTCCACCCAACTGGGCTCATCCACTGCTGTGGCCAGTCCGTCTAATGTACAGAATGTCTCCCTCTTTCCTTGCCTGGATTTCCAAGCCTCAGACGGATGGAATACCAAACTGGATACACTGGATCATGGAAACATTGATCAAGAAAAAACTGCATTGAGTCTTACAGCTTTCACTTTCACCATGATCGTTTCTGCAGTTCAGGGTGCCGTTGTACAAAGTGATCTTACCACTAAGGTGATCGTAACTCCTATACCTTAACATAGACTTATGACAGTCGTAGCGCTAAGTTTGCTTTGAACAACGGAACTGAGATTTCCACTCGTCTGTTTGAGTGCATTTTACAGTTGCACAGTGAAAACAATACTATACCAGTGCACAACTTTAAGTAATATTCACAATGTTTTTCCTGAAAATATACCTGCCTAAGAATCATGCTGAAATTTGTTAAAACATGACTAATTACTTATAAGCTATATTTTAGCTCAACTATCAATGTATACCGTCTATGGTGTGGTCTCGCTTTCTGTTTTAGCCAGCAAAAGTAATTTGAATTGAGCTTTTAAATAAAAAAGTGAATAACAAAAACATTCTTTACTTGCTGTTATCACACTTAAATGATTTCAATGAAACTATTCTAAAATGTCTTGCAGAACCTACCCATGATAGTGAGAAGGAAAAAAAACCCATATTTTTCAAGTATTTATACTAAGCAAATATTCCAGATGATTTTACTGCTTCAAATTTCAGTTTCCAACCAATCAGACTGCAGCCCACACTCTCATTTATTTTACAATGTGTTACATTGTGAATCTAACATTGCTTAGGTTGGAGCCATTGTTTAACTTTGTATATATTACATTTATTTGTTGCTTAAACAGGTTGAAGAGTTGTAGTATAGATAACCAGTTTATTGATGACTTTTGCATATCACTTTCTGCATATATGATTATATGTGCTAAAGAAATATCAATGTAAATAACAAGCCTATTTTGTTGAAATTCTTGTGACATTGTTACACATGTGTTGATGATGATGCAAGTTGACCAGAAGGAAGGATTTCCTTGATGACTTGTGTTCCATTTCGTGTAAAACATTTTGTGTAAAACATAAGTTAAGGAAATGTCCATGTAAACAACAAGCCTATTTTAATGAAATTCTTGTGACATTGTTACACATGTGTTGATGATGATGCAAGTTGACCAGAAGGAAGGATTTCCTTGATGACTTGTGTTCCATTTTGTGTAAAACATTTTGTGTAAAACATAAGTTAAGGAAATGTCCATGTAAGCAACAAGCCTATTTTGATGAAATTCTTGTGACATTGTTACACATGTGTTGATGATGATGCAAGTTGACCAGAAGGAAGGATTTCCTTGATGACTTGTGTTCCATTTTGTGTAAAACATAAGTTAAGGAAATGTCCATGTAAATAACAAGCCTATTTTGATGAAATTCTTGTGACATTGTTACACATGTGTTGATGATGATGCAAGTTGACCAGAAGGAAGGATTTCCTTGATGACTTGTGGTCCATTTTGTGTAAAACATAAGTTAAGGAAATGTCCATGTAAATAACAAGCCTATTTTGATGAAATTCTTGTGACATTGTTACACATGTGTTGATGATGATGCAAGTTGACCAGAAGGAAGGATTTCCTTGATGACTTGTGTTCCATTTTGTGTAAAACATAAGTTAAGGAAATGTCCATGTAAACAACAAGCCTATTTTGTTGATATTCTTGTGACAATGTCACACATGTGTTGATGATGATGCAAGTTGACCAGAAGGAAGGATTTCCTTGATGACTTGTGTTCCATTTTGTGTAAAACATTTTGTGTAAAACATAAGTTAAGGAAATGTCCATGTAAACAACAAGCCTATTTTGTTGAAATTCTTGTGACATTGTTACATATGTGTTGATGATGATGCAAGTTGACCAGAAGGAAGGATTTCCTTGATGACTTGTGTTCCATTTTGTGTAAAACATAAGTTAAGGAAATGTCCATGTAAATAACAAGCCTATTTTGATGAAATTCTTGTGACATTGTTACACATGTGTTGATGATGATGCAAGTTAACCAGAAGGAAGGATTTCCTTGATGACTTGTGTTCCATTTTGTGTAAAACATAAGTTAAGGAAATGTCCATGTAAATAACAAGCCTATTTTAATTAAATTCTTGTGACATTGTCACACATGTGTTTATGATGATGAAAGTTTACCAATAGGAAGGATTTCCTGTTACGATGTGTGTATAACAGTTCAGAGGAACATGTATTAATTGTGAGAGTAATTGTCATGTATCAAAACATTTTAGTTACTCTGTGGGGCTTATGGTGCCGCACCAATACCAAGTACCAATGCCTGTTGTAACACCTGACTACAGTGTGACTCTGATGGTTACTAAATGTCCTGGTTGGTTGTGTCATCATACCCTGATGAAGTACATTAGTTTGGTATTATTTCATCTTTAGTCTTGGTTTGCCTGGTCCAGGACTGACAAAGCAGTAATTCTGCAGACTATGGCGTTAAACAAGATTTCCCCAGTTGTATAATGTTGTAAATCATTTTACAGGAAATCATATATATTCATTCAAAATTAAATTAACATTACATATCTACCAGTTGGCAAATACCGGAAATGCACGTTTTTTAAGCCCTGGGCTTAATTACGTATTTTGACTACTTAGTTGAGTAACAACATACCAATATTGCAGTTAATGCGGGTTTGTCATATGCGTTTAAAATATCACACTGACCAGCAGAATTTCACCTACATTAGGGGTCCATGGGTCTTGTAAATCTGGATACCTTTAACGGTGTTTAAGGTGCATTAGAATGTAAATTGGACACATAGAAGCAATACAATACAATACATGTTGTTGAAGAACATCTGGTATGGGAGATCAATCAAGTTTTCAATTTACTGTAAGCCCATGGGCTTAAAAGCATTAGATGTTTTCTGTTTTAAGCCCATGGGCTAAATAAGGAAACTAAAAAACGGGCAGTCCTGGTAACTTCCTATTCTCTCCTGTGTAGATGATTACAAATAACAGATTGATTAGCCTATTTGGATACTTGAAGTTGTAAAGCTACCAACTTTGAGGGATTTGCTAGTTATGTCTTGATACGATTTTGTTAATTAATGCTGATGATATGTTGTTATTCTATAAATGAATTCTATTATGATTACTTAAGACATTTAAAGGAGCAAAATAAGACACTCTACTTGACATGATGTATCTAAAGACAAGGTTTAGGGTATATGTTTTAGGTAAACAAAAGTCACGAAAATCAGAAGAAAATACAAATCTACATAAATTCAAATTTGCTAGAATTAAAAAAAATAAACAAGTCCTTTGTGACTTGTTAGCAGATGTTTTCTTATCTTTGTCATAAATATGTGCCTGAGGCCAAATGTTTGTCAAGATGTGACCATAATTAAAACAAAGCAGATTGCAACAAATCTTCGATGCAATTTGAGATTGATAGTTGACAAATAATTATATTTAATATCTTGGAGTGTCATTTTATGAACCTTTATTATCCATGAAGACAGGATTTCAACTTCTTTTCCATTTTCTTTCAATGCAATGTAAAGTTACAAGAAGAACCATGTCTCAACTGCTCAAATGCTATCAGCCATGCAGTTCTTAAGCTTCACCATATATTTCTTGTTTATCCAGCAAGTACTAGCTTCTGTACCTCAACATCACATTGAACATTAAGAACGAAGAAGTTGAAATCCATAAGTCAATCGTACACCCGTCTTCATGGAATATATTTTTACATTTTTTACTTCTTATTGTGACAAGTATATATTCCATATTTGAGTAGTGTGTAGTTTTATCTCCATATTTTCTTATATTCTTATAGTTGCATATACCACTCAGTATGTTCTCATCTGTTACTAAGCCTCTGTTAGACTCTGTTCAAACAACCTACCACCAACACTCAAACAACAAAGTATATAGAGTTATGTCCCTTGGATCTAATGTGATATATTCAGTTCAGAAAAAAGCTTATTCATGACATTTTGATAATTGTCAGACATATTGGGTAGGAAAACAACTTAAGGATTAACATATAATAATTCAACAAGCCAAATGGTCATCTATACAAGGGCATACATTATTTCAACTAAATCTGAAAAATAGATTTGTTTGTTATGTGTTTTTTAATGCTGCGATCAGCAATATTCAAGCTGTATGACGGCGGCCTGTTAACAATAGAGTTTTGACCAGACAATCAAGTGATTGACATCATGAGCATCGATCCACGCAATTTGAATACGATGACATGTATCAACCAAGTCGGCAAGCCTGACCACCCGATCCCGTTAGTCACCTTTTACGGCAAGCATAGGTTGCTAAAGACCTATTCTACCCCGGATCTAGAAAAATAGAAGATTCTAATAGTTTGTAATGAATAATTAGCGTGTAACGTACGCATGTCGATGAGAACATATTGTGTCATGACTTATCTGCATTGTATCACATGTATTATTCATCATTGTTGCAGCCTTATCGTAGAGCCACATAGTTACATTTATCAAGGATATAGTTGAGCACTATCAGAAATGCACAAATTATTGGTTCCTATCTGTATCTCACTTTCTCAAAATGTACATCTTGGCAGCTCCTCTTTGTTTTAATGGCCCTTTCTGATCTAATAATATAACCATATCTCAATCCGAAACAACTCTTTAACTGACGGGCCTTTACTGTTATCTGGATTATCCCTGTAAATGTATGAAAAAATAGGCCATGAAAGGCATATAAAAATGGCTTGGTCAAACACTCAGATAATTAAATGGCCCAGTGTAATGTGTTTGGTAACTTTTTCCTTTCTAGTTTCATTTTGAATTGAAAATAGATCATTGATGTGTCTCTTCAATGGCCACTGAGAGGCAGCCAAATAATACTTAAAATGTGGCATAGGCCACATCCGTTTAGTTACTTGTTTTATGTTTTACAGATCGACCTGTTTCTTCTTAGTTATGCAGAATCCCCAATACTATGTTGTTTGGTATATTTTGATTTTTGATCCAGCTTTGACTTTTGATTTTCACATACTCTCATTTTAAGTTCACCTGACTGAAAGTCAAGCGAGCTTATGTCATGGCCTGTTTGTCTGGTGTGCTTCATGCTCAGTGCATCATCAACATATGCTCCTCAGCAACATTTAGAAACTATAACTAAAACGTCACATTTATTACTCGCCACCCCAATTTGTTCATAGGTTCAAATCTTATTTTCAACATGTTCTAAATGTATTAATAAAATTTGGTATTGTGTAGTCAGTAGTAGTGCTCAACATATGTTACGGTTTATTTGCGATATTTGAAATTTCCACATCAATAATACTAAAAGCTGAAACTTCTCTTAGTCATTACTGACCCATTTTTATCCAAAATGGAATGTAATTTGGTACATGTGTAGTTGTGGCTCAACATGAATGTTTTGTTTTTGCTATTTTTCACATTTTGACTCTTATTTCATCTTGGTACTGTGGACATGCTCCAAAATGTCTGACAATGCCTTTCGTCTCACTGAAAAAATCATCTCCTCAGGAACCACTGAACCAATGGAGCTGAAACTTCACATGCTTTTCTTCACCAGTGATGACAACTAAACGTGTTGTAATCCGATTTTTTATACAAAATGGAATCAAACTTGGTACACATGTAGTTAGTTGTTGGGCCCAGCATATATGTTCCGTTGTTTTTTAATATTTTAAATATTGAGCCTAATTTAACATAAATTATCTCAAAATGCATAATTGTCTCTGTAACCTTCTCCTCTGAAATTACTAGCCTGAGGGCGCGAAACTTTGACACGTATGTTTCTCCTTATGATGACAACATATTTTGTTAAGTGTTGAATTAAGGGTTCGAAGGAATATCAATGTTGACAGCAACTTTTGTTTAGTGTCTGTCTTTTCTTTTGAAAACTGTTGATCTATAACACTATTTTCCCAGTGTTTCTGCAGTTTAACCATCTTGGAAACCTCCTTTGTTAACATGGTTAACAAGCTGAAATTCTGTGTATATATTCCCTTGAATAATAATTTTCAGCATCTGTCCAGAAACCTGAGTTTATTACCCTGGAAATTTGTATTTGAGAGTTTGTTACTGATATTGCTTATTTGCTTAACCTTCTTCACCATTGTGTGACCTCACTGATCTGATATCAGGTTCCAGAAAAATTAAGGTGAGCTGCAGAACCTAGTAGTTCTATTTTTAGGTG